ATACAGACTACCTTAGTACGCCCCACCAGACATATTCTTTGTCGACCTGATATTGATTAACAGAAAATAAATTCGAAAGTTTCAATATTTTTCCTTTTTTTTTTAAATTTTTGTTTCAATTCTTGTATTTTCATTTCAATTGACTCAAACCTCAAATTACAGGTTGTTTTTCAAATCTCGAAACTTTAACTTGCGACGGGACTACCGATTGCCATTGATGCAGACGAGGCGAAAGATGTAATTATCTACGATCCGGTGACAGAATTGCCTTACGCAATTTAGCTTCATCTTTCGACTGGCTCAGCGTTCGTAATACAGACTACCTTAGTACGCCCCACCAGACATATTCTTTGTCGACCTGATATTGATTATAAGAAAATAAATTTTTTGTTTCAATTCTTGTATTTTCATTTCATTTGACTCAAACCTCAAATTACAGAGTGCGGGTAAGTCGAGTCGATGTTCATTTAAATCGAACCCGTTATTAGTTTCAAGAACACTCTCTTGGCCTTTGTGAGCATACACGTACGTGTAATCCCATTTTTGAAATTATCTATCAATATATTTGGCCTGGATAGTGTATTCAACGATGAAACAGATTGTCGCCATTCGGCTTAGATCTCTGTATCCACAATGCTTATCTTTACATACGTTTTATCGCGGATATTGAGTACTTTCACCCAATAAATAAAACATACCTTAAAATTACATTTTATCTTCTCAACCACCACCGCATCTTGATTTTATTCCAAATACTATCGACAATTACGAGAGGATACTATTAAAAAAAACTTGTCTAAATTATTTAATGAAACATGTCTTAATGAAAACATACTGACAAAATGTACACAATATATATATATATATATATATATATATATAAACGTATATTGTTAAATATAACAGACAATGAATGTCTATTATGTCTGATTATGTGCGGTCCTGTTGTTCGTATGTCTGCTTTAATAAAAATAATAAAAATAAAGACAAAAATTGTCCAACATTTGGATATTTTTATTAAGTTGATTCTTGATCTAAGCTTTCGGTTCACATGAACCATCTTCAGAGTTGTTATACGGATAGTTTAACAAAGATATTCACCATCGAAGATATTTATTTTTTTATATTGGCATAGAAGATTGCTATGCGACGATAGCGGTCGCGGAATATCGGACGCAGTT